AGGTGGGCTGAACCGGGCCGAGAGAATGGATGTCCGACCACGAAGTGTATGAGCACTGAGCTGAACGCAGCTTCCTTGTCTAAATGATACCCCCGGGCGGTTATGGTGTTTTCTCCTTCTTGTTATTGTTGTTCCAGGGGCAGCGTTGTTGGGATGGGACTCTTTGTTTCCACATATTTGTTATTCACCCCCTTTATTTCACCTGGTGTAGTTACGTTTTCTCCCATTGTACCATGTCCTTGATGAATTGAATCACCCTGCTCTCTATATACCCTGGGTCTTTGGCTCGCAAACCTCTTTCAATAAGGATGCCGATGTGTCAATGACTTTCATATTCAGTCTCTCGCAGTTCCTCTAAGTTCAAACAGATGCCATACACTCTTGCCATACCCGGTAATTCGGGGGAGTGTCCATATCTCACCACTTTGGTTATACCAAGCCAGCCCAGCTGAGCTATACACTACCAGCTCTTTCTACTTGTTCCAATGCCGGAATAAATCCCATGGCTTGATATTCATCGACATCTTGGTGCTGCATTTTCCCCTACGTTCCTGCTATCATACAATGAATGGCTTTCTCTCTTACCTAGGGACTTCCTCCCTCCCGCAAAGATCATCTTCCTCATTGCCCTCCCCTTTTCTTTTAGCCAGCCCAAGCTCGGTTTGAAAATTTTTACTCCCGACACCAGCTATCCACGAAATCTCCCCATTCCGGCCCATCCTTACCCCTCTCGGGCCTTCCTGTTCGGTTCCGGTTCAGCTCACTAGTCTAGTCTAGTCCACCCATTTTTTACCCTTCTTCACCTTCGTTATCTTGTCAGCCAGGCTCATCATGCACTTTTCTCGAGCAACATGTCACTCGCATGGCTGTGAAATGACTTTTACGTGTTACAATTATGTACCTAAACGAAACGTGAATTCGTTAGAGGCCAAAGGGCGGCGGCGGCTCGCAGGAATGGCACTCCTTGAGCTTTGTTTGTGTGTGTGTCCATGCAGGAATAGGGGGTTTCTCACCAATATGTTAGGGGAAGTTGTTGAATTTTTAAATTTAGCGAGATCTTGGGTGGCTGACTGAGTTTACTGTTGTTGGTTGTGGGCAAAGTAGAGGAGAGTAGAGGAGAGTTCAAGAAGTTATTGGATTGTGCTCTACCCGGATGAATTAGTTCAATGGTTACCATTCACACTTCAATTCCTCTCATTTCAACCCAGTGCATCCCCGATTGCCGGCCGGACTCCGGCATGCGATTCTTTACGTTCATACTTGTTAGTTGTATTTTCCTTCTGCTTACACTCATCAGGTATATATGAACGAGCCTTTCCAGCCAGTGTTTTCTTATCAGATATGGAAAATACCGGTAGATCGACAATATAAACACGCTTATCACAAATGACCTTTGATCGATGGAGGTCGTTATCATGATCTTGAATATCATCTTCAGATGACGGCTGTCCATCCTGTCATCTTATCATTGCATATCATCTCAACCCGACTCCGATTCTGTGACACCTATCAAGCCGATCCGACCAGCCCATTCATTCGACCAATATGAAACCCGTTCCATAGCGCCTTTCATCTGGTATAAAAATGTAACACACATAACATCCTGTCCCTGGTACAAATACAGTAGTAACTCAAAAGATCGTTCCTTCTTTTCTTCATCTCATATCTGCTGTCTAAGGAACACTCATGACATGCGGTAGAAGTAACAACAACAAAAGTGGTATAAAACGTTCTCTTTCTCCTTCTGTTTGTTTTTGATTTTTTTCTCTCTTTCTTTTTCTCTCTCTTTTTCTTTCTCTGCTTAAAGAGAAGGAGCAGCAGTGGTGGTGGTCTCGGCCGCCTCTGACCCAGCAGCAGCAGCAGCAGCAGCACCTTCCGCGGTGTTAGCGTGGAACCCATCTACCGTGAGAGTAACGGCACCGGCTTGGACAAGCTGTATACGTATTGGGTTAGTCTCAATTCAGATAAGAAAACCATCCAGGTAGGTAAACTTACAGCACGCGACAAATCATCAATCAAATCATCGGCATCCTCAATACCCACGCACAGGCGAATGATATCCTCGGGCATCTGCCTTTCGGCGCGCGTCTTAGCGTCAATGGAGGCATGGCTCATTCGGCAAGGCATGCTGATCAGCGAGTTCACGCAGCCAAAGCTGACCGAGATGCCCCAGAGCCTCGCGGCCTCGACAATGCGCTCGCTCAGCGCCACATCGCCCGTCTCAAACGACAGCACGGCGCCAGCGCCGCGGGCCATCGACCAGTGCAAGTCGTACTGCGGGTGCGACTTGAGACCGGGGTAGCGCACCTTGAAACCGTGCGACTCGAGGAACTCGGCGATGCGCTGCGCGTTGGCCTGCTGCTTCTCCATGCGGATGGCTAGAGTCTTGACACCGCGCATGAGGAGGAAGGAGTCGTTGGGCGAGAGACCGCAGCCGGTGGCGTTGATGGTGAAGTACATTTTGTCGCCCAACTCGGTGTCGTTGACGGCAATGACACCCGCCATGATGTCGTGGTGGCCCGACAGGTACTTGGTGCCGGACTCGTAGACGATATCAGCGCCCACGTCAAGCGGGTTGAACAGCATAGGCGAGAGCATGGTGTTGTCGACGACAACCACAGCCTTCTCGTTAGCCTCGTGCGTGATGCGCGCAATCGTGGGGATGTCGCAGATCTTGATAAGAGGGTTCGTGGGGGTCTCGAGCAGGACCATGGCGGTCTTGGGGGAGATGATCTGGCGCACACTTTCGACGTTGGTGGTGTCGACGTGGTGAACGATGACGCCCTGGTTATTCTTGAGGTAGGTCAAAAGGCGGTTGGTACCGCCGTACAGGTCGTCGCCGGTGATGACCTCGTCGCCGGGCTTAAGCAGGCGGGTGATGACGTCGAGAGCGCCCATGCCGGAACTGACGGACAAGCAGCGGTTCGCGTTCATGATCTTGGCCAAGTGGCGCTCGAGATGGGTGCGGGTCGGGTTGCCGGAGCGAGTGTAATCGTACTCGCTGCCGCCGTTGGAAGACGACTGCTTGAAGGTAGCGGACTGGTAGATGGGGATGCTCGAGGCGCCATACTGGTCCTTGGTCTCGGTGTAGACGAGCTCGGTGGCCAAGGCATATCTTCGGCCATTGTGAGGGCTCGAGGGTGCGGGTGATGGCGGGAGATGGTGGCCGTCAAGGTCTAGACGAGAAAAGACCTTCTTGGCGGCTTGCGCGGCCGGGCTGTCACTGTTGGGAGTCGACATATTTGTCGTTGTGAGGATGTGGTGTGGTGGTGAGAAGGTTGTAGAAGCTGTCACCGCTTCTGTATAGCTTTTCGGTGCTGCTGTTTCTGCTGGCGTACCGGTAGTATGGGTGGAACGGATAGAGGCCGATGGTGTGATGAGTCAAAGCGCGACGTCTTTGATTTGGGCAGGTCTAGGCGATATGCGGCGGCGACGGGAGCGAAGAACGGAGGAGTGTAGTGGATCTGGAGATGCTGGTGGTAGTACGTGGAACCTGGGCCTGGATTGAGGGGCAAATTGCGGTTGGTAGCTGGACGTTAAGTCTCTTGGAAGGACGGGTCATACAAATCCGAGTTGAATCAGGGAATTCAGTATGTAAATTATTGATGGTCGAGTATAAACATGCAGGAGAAAAAGAAGAGAAAAGAAAATGGCGAAATCAGGGCCAGTTATAATAAGACGAAACCGATCGAGACGGGCAACGGTGGACCTTCGGGGCAATATCGTGCCAGTGACTCCCCGGTTGGACGAGTTAAAGTTCCAGATTGGGGCCCCTGGTTCCCCAAGATTTGTGCCCGGTGAGGGTGTGGATTGTGGATGGAGGATGGATGTGTCGATGACTGGTGGTTGCCAACTCGCGTGGACGGGACTGGATGTCCGGCGGGGGTGGATGGATGAACTGGGGACGGCATTCGGGGTGGTGGGGTGTTGTCACCCTCTGTCGCGGTTGCCGTCCAGCGGTACATTGGTGCCGAGGACCTACAGAGTTGGAGCTACACTACAATTGTGGTTGGTCCCTTGCAGCAGCAGCAGCTGTAGTGTAGCCGTCCACCCAATTCGGTTCGTCGACCGCTTCATGCCGTCTTTTAGGTTTGTTACTTTCGTCCGGCTTTCCTCGAGTTGAATCATCCAAACATCTGGGCCACTTGCAGAGCTAAATCATCATATCCACACCAGATGATAACATCCAGACTCTGTTTACTTTCAACTTGAAATACCACTCATTTCTCGCAATGGTATCCCAACAACACTCCCGGACACTGTCTCTTCACTAAATTCGCCATCCTTTTCCTGCTTGTCCGACCATCGGCGTTGCGTACGGCTCCACCTTCAGCCCAGTGTCGCATTGAGGACGCAACCCGGGGGATCCACGATGGCAAGGTACCCCGCCCGCCCGCCACGTCTCGCTTCCCCATGAGGTACCCGGTTATCTGCCAGAATGTAGACAATGGTCCATTTGTTCACTAATTATGTGGGGCTTCGAGAATGACGTGCTTGGCCCCCAGCCGCTCGCCGGATATCCAGAAGTTCGGACACAGAACGGGAGACCGAAACGGAGTTTGTGCTTCGGGATGTGTATTGGTTGCGTTCATTCGGTGAACGGTGTTGAAGGAAATGTGCTGTTTTGTGTTGGGCTGACCGAAAAATGTTGATATTGCAGCCTCGATTTTGGTTTCGGGGCACTGCTGAGGGATCAGGCAGTTGTCACGTTCAGGCTCCGAAGCCTCAGACAGACCGGTCAGGCAATCAAACAGGCAAATCAAGAGCCAGGCCGAACAACCATCAGCGTCTGCACAGCCTCGAATGGCTTAAACACCCTGCTTCCTCTGCCGCACAAGAACATGACGAGGAAACGAGGCTGTATAGATAGGACTCGAAGGACTCGGACAGGACTTCCTCGGTAACCCTTTACAGTCTCGGATCACGATTCCTCCTAGAGAGGTCGGACGCAGAAATTGGGACCTGGGTCACACACGGGTAGGACCGATTTGAATGTTCCATAAGACTTCCAGAAACCAAGATAAGCTGGAGATACCAAAGTAAGGCTACCAGTAAACGGTGCGTTCTATGGGTTTGATAAACTGCGCCTCCGCCTCCTGTTTCGGAGTGTGTACTGTTCCAATTCCTCTACCTGGTCAGAACAAATGCCCTAGCAAGTCTTTGGCAATGATCGTATGACGCTCGTGATACTTTCCAAAGTTTCTTCGCTGTCCTTTGATCCCGCAATAATGCTGCCTGCTTGGCTGGCACTGTGTTTCTTCTTTAGTTCCCATTTCTCGGGGGTACTGCCCACAACCAAACATTAAGACAAAATGTCCTCGGTCTCGGTCTCGACTTCATAGATCTCCCTCGTGCTCATGGCCGCCTCTGGCCTGATGGAACTGGGACGGCTGTCCGCCGCCAAACTGGGCGCGCCACCCTTGCGACCAAAAAAATCATTCGTGCGCAAACCACGCACCGTATTGGGATCCAGCTTCTTTATCGACTTTCCTGCGGCCTTTTGGTTCCGGATAGCCTCCCTCATGGGAACCATGGCCGCATCACGGCAGGCCTCTTTGAGCTCGCTTCCAGACATGCCTTCCGTTACCATAGCAATGTACTCCAGATCAAATCCGGGGTCGCGCTTTGTATCGGCGAGGACGAGCTCAAGGATACGCCGGCGCTGGTCCTTGCCTGGAAGCGGGACGGGGAACTTCTTGGGCATTCTGCGGAGAATGGCGTCGTCAATGTCGTTGATGCGGTTGGTTGCGCCAAGGACCATAATTCTGGCGGGTTGGCCGAGAGAGTTGGTAGAGGTAAGACCATCCCAGAGAGTCATGAACCTGTTGTTGTGGTTTTAAGGTTAGCTCCGGAAGGCCAAGGTTACACATGGCGCATTTTGAAGTAGAGCAAAGGGTCACTTACTCGGCTTTGACCATGCCGCTAGCCTCATGCTCTCCGCTTCTCCTTGTTCCCAAGACGGCATCGATCTCATCAATGAAGATGATGGCCGGCTGCAGCTTTAGCGCAAGCGAGAACACTGCGCGAACAAGCTTGTTAGAGTCGCCGTACCACTTTTCTGTAAGAGTCGAGATATGCAGATTGATAAACGAGGCGCCGCTCTCGTGCGCCACAGCTTTCGCCAGCATAGTCTTTCCGCAACCAGGAGGGCCATATAGCAAGACGCCCGAAGGCGCGGACAGTAGCGTGCCGCCATGCGAATAGAGCTGCGGCATCGTGAGCGGGTAAATGATAGCTTCCCTGACCTCCTCGATAATCTCGTCCAGACCGCCGATATCGTCGAACCCAACCGGGATGTCCTCGGGCGCAACTACTTCCAGCGCTACCTGGCTCTCGTACTCGTTGAGAACGAGGTCCTCAACCCGCACGCTGGAGGGTGAGTCTCCGGGGACCTCATCGTCGGCGAACTCGTCGTTGGCAACCTTGGATTTGTCTCGTGACTTTTGTATCCTGGCCAGATTTTGTTGAGCTTTCAGCCTGTTTTGATCGTGCTTAGCACGGTCGGGATCGATGAGCTTTGCGACGTGGGGGGCGACGTAGTCACGGAAGATGAAGTATACGGATATTGTCTGGAGAGTAAAGTGTCAGCAGATCGTCTTGGGCGCATTGCATCGCGATTAGCAGAGCCCGTACGGTAGCAGCTAGTAGCAGCCCGGACATGATGTCCTTGGCCACACGCTTATTATCGGTCATTTTGACTTGTAGAGTGAGCCCTGGGCGGGTCGGGAGGGGAGTGACAGCCCGCGGGTCGCATCCAAGATTTGAGGACTCTTTTGTCGTGGACGTCGTGATCGGAGGACTGGCAAGGGGATACAAGATGTACAGAGAAACAAGGGCTAATGTAATGAAGCGAACGGCATGCACCGGGCAGCAGCAGTAGTTGTTGTTCGCGTCCAAGTCAATGGACGTGACTGATGGAGGATGGGAACTGAATCATTAAAAGTTGAAAATGGGTCCCCTCGAACGGTAGTCCTCGGCTTCAGCTTGCCATGTGCACTGCGTTCGGCCCAAAGAATGGGGCGCCACCCCAGTGGCTACAATGTGACCTTCCTTGTCAATCTTGCCAAGACCTCACACTTGTCCCCAGTGAATGGTCCCGACTCCCTTGCTTCCGTTCGATCGATCGAACCTGACAAAGATTGGATTCGAACTGGAACAACACCGCACTGAAACCAAGCGCCAAAACAACGACTCCAGTCGCACTGCGACACGTGAAGACGCGGCGCCTGGGCGGATAGCGCAGCTGCTATCGATAAGCTCCTATAAGTGCCAAGAATTGCCCCCTATCGGATCGCATCAGATGGAAAACAGCCAGGGTTCCCTCCATTCCGCCTCCACTGCCGCTGTGAACGAGCACCTCGATGGACGACGGAAAGGAAAGCTCGGGCCCCACTCACCCCTGGGCGGCTCGTATGGACGCGGCTCATCCCAGAGGGACGACAGCAGGACTTCGACATCACCGCTAGCAATTCCATAATCCGTCGTATCTAATCATTTACAAAACACCATCTTTTCCCTTCCCGTCGATCCTTTGTACGAAAATCGATTTACGTCGCATGTGAGATCCAATACCACGCGGTTCTAGTGCCGGGCAGTTCAATAAAGCAACGGCGGATCTCGCGGTTCGGTTTGGTTCTCTTTACAGTTTCTGTGTATTGTTTTCAACTTGGCAACTTTCAGACGGCCCGCCTCGCTGTTGTCGCAAAAGTATAATTCGCAGCCATGTTGTCATTCATTCTCATCCAGAACCGACAGTACGTACCCTTACCTCCTCTTCTACTACATACAAGCGCATCATGTGTCGCAAAGTCGCAACATCATATAGCAGATGCGCCACACCATACACACACATATACATATCTAAAAAGCCATTGTCGCAAACTCGATAGACTAACACCAATAAACAAAGGGGTAAAACCCGTCTAGCAAAGTGGTACGTCCCCTACAGCGACGAAGAAAAGATCAAGCTCAAAGGCGAGGTATGTCCAGTTTTCCCTCTTCCCCCCCCCCCCCCCCCCCCCCCCCCC